CATTCGCTGTTATTTATACCATTCAAGACTTATAATCATTCGCTGATATTGATACCATTTAATATTTAAAATCGTTGACTGTTATTTATACCATTTAACAAATGAAATCATACGTTGTTATTCATCCCATTCTACAATTTAATTCATAAACTGTTATTTTTAATGAAAACATATTAAATACACTGTAACAATTTGAATTGCACGCGATTTTTTATACTCGATAATAATTTAAATAATAATAAACTGTAATATACTCCATCTAAAATTTAAAATATAAGCAATTATATTCACACAATTTAGCAATTTAAATCATACTCATTTACTTATAAATTTGGATAATTCAAATCATGTGTTGTTATACACGCCATTTAACAATTTAAATCATATGACGTGATTACATGTTAGTGTATGACACATGGATTTACTGACGAAGGTAATCTAGAACGAACTAAAAAATTATACATTTAAAAAAATTTAAACTGATTGCAGAAAAGATTTACACAAAATTTTGTTGTTCTTCTAGTGAAAAAACAAATTTATTCCGAGCTCCCTGTTATTCAGCTGAAAATTTAAATTTGGAAGGTTTAATAAGAACCAAATAATCCGATCGTACAGTTCGATGAACCTATTTTAATTTAAATATTTTATTATCATAATCGCTACAGAGAGACCGGTACATAGTCAATAATAATCATGGATCATAACTTTCATTAAATCGAATGAACTGCTCAGAGGAAGGCAGCAATTTTCCTTTCATACTTCGATGAAAAGGCGCAGCTTTGTGCGACCACAGTTACCGGTATCATCGGTTCATTATCGTCGTAAATAACGTAGTTTGGCAAAGAAAAAATGTTTATTACTAAAATGAGGTCCAATGAAAGTTTCCTTTCGTAACAAATGTTGCAATAGTCGTATCAGGACGCTAGTTCAAGCGTGTTCGCGCGACAGCGACGTTGTAGTTTACAGCGGAAATAAAACAGGATATTCATCTTACACCTGGATTGAATCAGCGTGAAATGGAGAAGAAATTTACGTTAGAACGTAGAAATATGTCGGTATTTAAGAAGGTCGGATAATAGGAAAATTTTACGAGCGCCTTGCTGCAAAATAAAGTTACGGATTCTTTGTTCAATACCACAAATCAAACCTGCAATATCGCAAACATAAAAATATTATAATCAACAATATCGCCCCCGAAATATACCTACCATGATTGGCCCTTAAGCAGAAAACCTTTATATATATGATCTTAGCAATTTATGAATGATGCTCTTGCTAGATTAACAGCAAAAAATCAAGAAAATTATTTTCCCTGTATCTTGTACTATCGTAATTTTTGGTCGAAATCGTCTATCCACCCTGTGTTTCACCAAATCTTTAGATTCTGGAAGAAGAGATATTGTAATTAATAAATAAAGAAGCCAGTGCATCCATTTCGAGGACTCAATTCAGTAGCTCATTAAACAAAATCGTCTATGGTTAAAATAGCTTCATCACTCATAATTCAAATTTTAGTCTGTCTTCTCTTTCTACATGCACTGCGCAGAAATCAACCACTTTAATTCCACCAGCTTCAGCAATCTGTGGGATTTTGTTAATGAATTTTTCCTAAAGTGACAGATGTCGAAGTCGCTTGCGAACTGGCGTAGCCATGAGGTGTATTAAATTTTTAGAACAACTTCTAGGGTTAATTGATTTCAGAACGGAACGACTTCTAGTAAATCGAATTTCATAAAGTAACGACTTCTATAAGAGGTAATTTCGCTAAGGAGCAGCTTTTATAGTTGAAATTGTTACTTATGATTTTAAAATAATTCTTCCCGAAACAAGCTTTGCTCTTGAAATTTGCTTTAAATAAGTAACCGAAAATTTATACTTGTAGTCAATTATCCTATTCTCGGTCCTTTTTTGCAACATATCATAGAACGACTTGACAGTAGAACGGCAACCCTTCTCACTGACGCTGACAAAATTATTTAAATTCGTAAAAAGTTGAAAGAAGGGTTGTCTACCGAGCGCGAAATTTGTCGGGATCTTGGATACCTCAAAGGAATTTTTGTTCGAATTCATTTGCGTGTGTGATTTGCCGCGTGTTGCGTTAATTGACTTCGTGCATGAACGCGCAACCGGATTAAATCCTGAAAGATTTTAAATAAAAATCCGAACGCTTTGGGCAACGACGGAAACAAAGATCGTTGTCATCGCCTGTCGGTGAGCTGAACGTACGACGAAAATATCAATAAAAATCTGAAACCAAATTGATTCCCTGCGCAAATGAAAAAAATATCACACGACGAAAATATCAATAAAAATCTAAAACCATATTGATTCCCTGCGCATATGAAATAAATATCACACGACGAAAATATCAATAAAAATCTAAAACCATATTGATTCCCTGCGCATATGAAATAAATATCACTATTTAGCCAGTTACAGAAATTCGGAAGTAAAATTACTGTTTGAAGCGAAGTGAATCAACAATAAAAGTTTTGCTCCGAGTTTCCAGTTCTGCGCTACAGTTTAAATTTGCTGTCCATTTTCAGCTTCATGTTGTCTCTGGGTATTTAGCTACGCCGCACGATATTGTGTGTATTTATAGTCATTATGAATTAGTGAAAATGAAGCTAGATATATTGCATCGTAACCTACATGCCACTGCATCATAGAGCGTTCTCAGTTGGAATTGGAATTGGTTGCGCGCTGACCTCAGAAAGCTCACGGCGCACTCAGTAGCTAAGAAAATCAATAAAACACAATACATTAATTTTTTTTCTTACAATTTCCTCTTTTCTTCAATTTACTTTTTTTTCTTTTCCTAGGACGTTACACGTTCTCCAATGCCCTCATGTGCGTGCGCGCAACCTTTGGTGGGGTTTTTCTTCAATAATGGAGCATCCACCGTATTATTATGAATAATACGAATTTGAATACATACATAATTTTTGTTCTCGATCTCTCATTTGAAATTAGCTCAACGTCCTTCGTTCTTCACTTAAAGAAAGTTCACTCTTTTCTAAATAAATCGAAATTTCTGAATAAACCGAAAGACCAGAGCATGCTTTTTATTAACAATTTTTTTTCGTTTTTCTCAATAAGCCGAACAAATATTTCTTTGTGGTGTTGGGAGATCAAAAGCAGGTTACAAAATAACATTTTACTGGAATTTACTGACTGAGAACAAGGGTTCTAGAGTATCTGGTATATGTAATCGACGAAGAAAAAATAATTTTCCATTTTCACTTTCAATAAAAATTCGTGTAATGCAATTTCGTCCCAATTACTCAAATATTGTGTAACCATGATATGCGCTTTATTTAGTCATATTTCTTTGAGATTTTGCTACTTTTTTATTTCGCAATTTATTAAAATTTGGCAACTTTATTTCATATTTCGTTAAGCTTTAGTAGCTGTCTGATTTCATAATACCTCAGGAAATCTAACTTAATATATATAAAATTATATGTTACATATTATATTATAATATTATTATATGATTACTGATCATATATTTTTGTGTTATTTGAGTAGCCGCTAATTAGCAAATAGCAATAGTATTGTAGAATAGCATAGCATCTTCGGCGATGAGGAAATAGGCCTGTTAATGCCTGTATGTAGGCGATTCTTGAACTAATCGTGACCTGTTCACAGATCCAAAAACTGGCCTTTAGACCTGATTTTTTTCAACTGACGTTGGTTTTGCATCATCACTGGACTTTTACTATTCTGTAGGGTGCTGGACATTTCAAGACTGAACATATACTTTTGCATAGCCTTGTCTAGTTTATTCTGGAAGGCTTTCATACTTTCAGTGTAAAGACCCAACAATAAATTTTCATGGGATTTTAAATCCCATCTTATCATCAATTTTCTGGGAAATTTTCATGGGAGAGTCAACAATATCATTAGGGAGGCTGTTCCACATGTCGGTGACTCGAAGTGAGAAGAAATGTTGTCTTACAACGCATTTTTTTTTAGTTTATAGCCGTGGCCCCTGGTGTTGGTTGTTGTTTTAAATTCTAGGAATCTTTCTGGGACCTTGTATAAACCGTGGGTATACTTGTATATATACTTCAGTGAGGTCACCCCACAGACGTCGATAACTGAGGCTTGGCAGCTTCTTAATCTTTAATCTTTCTTCATAGGACTTGCCTTTCAAGCCTGGAATCTTCCTTGTTGCATGTCATCGAACTCTGGACTAAAATTTTCCCCCTTTCAAGTATTGGGGACTACACGGCGTTTCCAAACTCTAGGTTCGGGTGCATGAGTGCAACAAATAACATATTCGTCGCTTCTGTATCTGGGATAGATATCAGATAAACATTTTGTTGTCTTACAACTATAAATAAATGTAATAAATTTCCCGCGCATATGGAGTGATGTTCTATAGCTCTGTTAGATCAACATAGCTACATAGCTCATGTCTGCATGCTGCATAGCTCTGTTAGATCAACATAGCTACATAGCTCATGTCTGCAGGCTGCATATCTCGATTAGATCAACATAGCTACATAGCTCATGTCTGCATGCTGCATAGCTCTGTTAGATCAACATAGCGACATAGATCATTTCTACATGCTGCATGTAGTTCGTTAGAAAAAAATCTTTAGGTGGTTAGGCTCGTATCTACGATGCTCATCGTCCGAAGTAGAGACGTGGAGAGGATGGTTAGATTTTAACATTAAAATGATATTTCTTTGGAATATGTACATTTTGTCTACAAAGGTTCCAAAAAATTACCAAAAAGGAAATTTATTCTTTAATTTCAGTTTTCTAGCTTCAAAATTATTAAATGGATTCGGGATATTGTGGTTAGGGATGACCTCAATAATGGTACGGGATTTGAAATATCTCGATTATCAAAATGCAAGAATTATATGTCCCGGACTCCCGGTCAACGCCTAGCAAACTGGTTAATATATCATAAAAATTATTGTGCATATTCGAATTGAGGGCTTTCATATTATTAAATCACTCGCAATAACCTTGTTTCATTTTCAGGTTGCATTAAGCTAATCAAATAAGCGATAATCATGTATTGGTCAATGCATGGTTCTCTACTACCAGTGATTGTGGTAGCGCTCTGCCTACCGCTCGTGCCTTCACACAAACCTAAGAAACATGGCGACTCCTACACGGACCACAGTGAGTGGCAGCGATGCGATAGTCATGTGAAGTACGCTGATAATTATAAACATAACTCATAGTTATATGATATTTTTGAAGCAATAATATGGGTTATTTGTAAACATAATAATAATTTTGCTAAATTTCAATATCGATGTTATTGAAGAAGAGATTGTGAGAAAGGTTCTTGGGCAAGACCGTGATTCTACCTCTAATAAATACAACATATCAAATTTGAACACTTGCTAACCCTGAGTGCATATCTACCAAATTTAGGCTTGATTCAACTAACCTAAATTTTCTTGAATTTATAACCCACGAATATTAATTCACGTGACCGTTCCATAAGATGAGCAAAAACATCATTATGAATTTCGTTTGAATCGTCAATGAATTCCATCGAATGTTTTATCCAGCAGGAGGCATCACGGTATACGAAGCTCCAAGTTTCTACCATGATCCTCCAAGTACGCCATACCACTCCACATATGGTCAACCTCCAGGATACGCTCCTGTCTCATACCCTCCCGTATCCTACGCGCAGCCTGCGTATGAATACGCGGCGCCGTATCCTGAGCCGTACGGAGTAACGTACTTGCCTGTACCTACTAGAGAACGAGGCAAGAAAAGCAATAAATCTTTAATAAAAAGTCTCAAACAGGAGGAGCTTCAGCTGTACAAAGGATTCAAGTCCTTGTCCAAAAGTGAGTACTGAAATGTTACATAAATTTAGTTCATGAGCCCTGGAAATATCTTTAAATTATATATCTGTATATCGCCAAATCTGTTTAATTTCGATTAATAATGTGATACGTAAGCATGTAAATTTATAAAGACTTCAAAAGATAATGCCTGATTCAGGCTTAATCAAAAATACTAATTTTATTAATCTGTTATCATTTATAATACTATAATCATAATATAATAAAATTCTTAAAAAACAGTGAAATATAACCACTTCGCCACATATGCATTGAATGAATGCAGGAATAAATAGCTGCATTAAATTAGAAAGGAACTTTTGACAATCCGTGCGATAAATTAACAAAGATGGCTATCAGTTTTCATAAAACACTCTTCTATGTGACGCATGTGGAAATTTTTCGGAATTGGAAGCAAATATTCATTGCCATTTTTGATGTGTAGTGAGCAGCATTTTATCAATTGAATAAAAACCTCGCGTGCAGAAATTTAAAATTACTTGTTTAATTATCTTATACCTGCAGTCAGATAAAAATTTGCTGATGCCAAACGAATTTTTAAGAATTTACGAAATCACAACAATCAGGCCAAGGAATCCTTCATCCAATAATAGTTGGATTAAGGTGATGAAAATTGGAGTTTTTCATCATTAAGTTGAAAAACTCCAATAGAGTTTTTCATCTTAATGTCAATCAGACCAGTTGGCACTTGGATAATCATTTCTAATGCTGTAACCCAACAGGCATCTGGAAGGGCTACAAGGGCGACGAGGATGAATTACTCACCGTCCACCGTCCCGTGTACAACCCGCCTCCGCCACCGCGGCTGGTCGAAGTCAGGGTCCCCAAGTGTAAAGATACCGTCGAGATCCCCACCTACATAACTGAGACTCTCATTGCAAGTACCAATTTGCCAATTCGATCCTATGAAAGGTCAAAAATAAATTTAAATTTTTCAGAAACGGATATATAGTCTAGAAAAAAGTTCGTTTTGATTCCGATTAACTATCATTATAAACCAACGAGCTGCTGCTATACAGCGTTCATACACCATCGTTGAAAAAAATCAAACGAAATATATAACCAGGCGTGAATTTGTAATCAATATCATTTCGTAAACATGTTGTCGATTTCCACGCTTATATTACAAACGATTATATTGACAGAATAAATATTTTTTTAGGTTTCAAAGAGCACAGTTTGATCTCCTAATTTATGCTATAGATGATGCGGAAACTTGACCGTTTCCGCTCATAAACATTGAATTCTTTGATGATTTATACATCAAACAATTTCCAGAAAACGCGCAACATTTACGTCACGAAGACTCGCACCAAGACAACGGAACGCCACATTAAAGAATACGTGGTAAATACGCAGTACCAGACGCAGACGGCAACAAAAGTGGTCTCTCATTACGCACCTGCTTCGACCATCACCATCTACAGCCCGCCAGAGACCGTCTACAACACCATCTACAGCCCACAGTACATCACGCAACATCACGAGAAGTCGCAATATGTCCAGCCAGAGACGGTCTACCACACGCAGTACATCACGCAACATCACGAGAAGTCGCACTATGTCCCGCCAGAGACCGTCTACCACACGCAGTACATCACGCAGCTGCACGAGAAGACGCAATTTCTCCCTCACTACGTGACGGTAACAATCGCACCAAACCCCACGCACACACCTCATCTTGAATACTCGGAGCACGCAACACCTCACCAGGCCTCTGAACATTACGAGCCTTCTTCTTACAGTGACGAGAAAAACTTCTCCTATAAGCGGAAATCTGACGATAGCTCGAGTTTTACAACTCAAACCGAAGCACAAGATCAAAATCAGCTAGGGGACTATAACCAGATCCAAGACTACTTTCAAACTCTGGGACAAGCTCTAAATCAAGCTGTAGATAATGATGAATCAATTTCACCGCATTTGGGTTTAACTTGATTATCAAAAGACCTACTAGCAGCATCCAGCTTGACGACGAAATAGAAAGGCATCCATCTTGACGACGAAACGGACTCGCATATGTTATAACGACAATAGCTCAAGTAAATTTTGATTGAAGACAACTAAAACGAAGCATCTGCAAATTCAATATTTTGGCAACTCCGAGCTAAAGTTTACTAACTCGTAAGCATTTATTATTGACTCTGGCATATCTGACTAGTTTAATTTTGGCCAAACCACAGTGAGAAAACATAAATTAATCATCAAGTCAGAGAGTAAAACAGTCATTGATTGGGAAACGCGGGTTCAGAAAATGAAGAATTATAAACATGAGGCTGTTAATTAATGAGAACCGTTTCACTGGCAAATCAGCAGGCAGTGCCGAGAAGGCAGGGAATTGAAATCTATCGTTCGTGGCTGAGATATTATTTCATATTTGCCCAAACTTTTAATGTGTTTTTATGTACCTAGCAAAGGCATTGATGGACACTAGTAATGTTAATAATCGAAAAATATTCATTAAAAATAAAACTATGAAAATTTAATTAAATTAAAATGCATTTTTAAAGTATGTAACAATTACTCAGTAATGAGTAATAAACTATATTAAGAAAAAATAGATACGATGATCGTGAGCTATTTATAGTTATACAAATATAATACTCAAGCAATTGTGATTTGTATATAATATTTCTTCGTGCGTAAATGATTCTATCAGTTAACCCTGAGTCAAGCCAAAAACAAATTATGACGCGGTGGTGAAGAAAATTAAATTAAATAAGAAGATACATGACTTATTTGGACAAAGCACGCACGTTGAACAAGGCAACCTACCGACCTGCTGGACAAAGGACAAAACTACGGACTGCTCTGGACTGAATTCTGTTGCAACAAATGAATTTTTGAATTCATTTGTTTTCTAACACCGTAAGGTCCTTCCTCTAAACCATTCTAATAGAGTAATAGTAAGATAAGAATCTCTGTCAAATTTTCGATTATTTGTTTGAGATAAGTCTATTATAAGATGATAAATTCATGTCAACTTGTAATGGATAGCGTCATCCGGTTGGTGTTGATACAAAAATCATCAATGTCATGAACAATCTTTCTAAAAAAACCGATAATAATTTTCGAATCTCAATATGAAAATTTTGGCATATGCAAAATAATGAACACCATATCAAGAAATTTGTGACTAAAATTATTGTTTTAGTTAATGGAGTTGGCTAGTTTGTTAGTCAACGTGTATTCTTTTAAGAAAAGATATCTAAAAATAATATGCTTTTTCGAGAACGGATCGTTTTTCCTGCACCGCTATCATATCTATTCATAAAAAATTAGCATGAAATCTTGCTTTTAAGCAAAAACGATCAAGATCGTCTAAATCCACATAATTTTGTACAAATTTTGCTTAACAAACTAATTAAAAAGGTTTGAATTGAGTTATCACAAACGGAAGTCAGACGGTTACTCAAGTTCTTAATTGCTAACGAGGTCACTGAAAGAAGTTGCTTGCATTTCTAATACATTAAATAAAGTGGATAAGGTATGTAGGTTCATGGTATGCATGATCCGGTCACCTGACGCATTTTCGATCATTCTGAATAAAAAAAACATATTATTAACTTAACGAATATTTTTCAGACAGCGCACAGCATTTACATCACAAAAACAAGCACAACGACAACGGAAAGCTTCGTGAAAGAATACGTAGTAAACACGCGGTACAAGACACGGACGACAACAAAAGTGGTCACCCGTTACGCTCCTGCGTCGACCATCACCATCTACAGCCCGCCAGAGACCGTCTACAACACCATCTACAGCCCGCCAGAGACGGTCTACCACACGCAGTACATCACGCAGCAGCACGAGAAGTCGCAATATGTCCAGCCAGAGACGGTCTACCACACGCAGTACATCACGCAGCTGCACGAGAAGACGCAATTTCTCCCTCACTACGTGACGGTAACAATCGCACCAAACCCCACGCACACGCCTCATCTTGAATACTCGGAGCACGCAACACCTCACCAGGCCTCTGAACATCACGAGCCTTCTTCTTACAGTGACGAGAAAAACTTCTCCTATATGCAGAAAGGTGACGGTGGCTATAAGTAAAACCGAGGCACAAGACCGAGCTAAGTTACAGTACAGTACGTAACCAGTTGCAAGCCGATCGATCAAGGACTGTAACAAGTTTGTAACCGAACTCGAGTGTGAGTTGAAGATCAAGGTAGAAACGCTGTCGAGATCAAGCTCCAGCCTAATAACAAGCTCAAGATCTAGTAGTGGGGAATTTCGAGAAGAATTCCTGGCACTCGTGAAGGCTTCGTGCGCGAAAGAAATAGCAACCCGAGTGAAAATTATTTGTAGAATGAAGTATCAATTGTATTTTTGAAAAAAAATCTGACCAGTGCATTATAATGACACAATGTTTATTCAAGCAAGTTTTGAGACTATGCCATGAACGCAATCTGACTGACTCTAAAGTTCAAGACTATGTCGCATTTCTTAATGTTTAGTTTCTTAATGTTTAGCTGCGATTGCTTAGATTGTGATTGATTGATTAGTGATAGCTGTAATTGATCTGGAAAAATTGCATCACTCCATATGTTAAGCTCAGTCAACAAGTAACAGTCAGGTGGGACCATTAGTTCTTCATACATTTATTTTTCATCGCCATTTTTCAGCATGCATTTATTTTTCAACACCATTTATCAGCATTCATTTGCTTCTCAGCACCATTAGTTTAGTATTCAATTTGTTTTCAACACCATAAGTTCAGCATTCACTTGTTTCTTACCATCATTAGTTCATCATTCATTCATTTCCCCACACCATTAGATGTACAGAAAATATGCGAAACTAATCGACAATTATTTACAGACAATACAATAAGGTTTTTTTTTTGTTTGTTTTCTTACCTTGTTAAGTTTGAATTTTCCAAATTCATTTAAATCTTGGTTAATTAGTTATGATTGTTTCAAATTGTAGCAAAGTCAAAGTGGACTATGGTTAAGCAATTTGAAAACTTCAGTTATTCATTTTCATTGTCAATATTGCCATTTTAAGTATAGTACGGGAGAAACTGGGTAAAATCACTAATATTATTTTATGCTTTCATCGACCCAGATAACTATGAGCGTGAACACAATCCATTTTCAGGACCTTCTCTAAGTTATCGGTAAAATCCTGCTTATTTCCACATATTATTTTTTGCACAGCTCCTATAAGCAAATCAGCTATGCAAATTCTCTATATAGTTGCATTTTCAAGAAGTACAGGCGTTTGTCTTAGACTGAGCTCATTTATTTAATTTTATATTGGACCAAAGAGCAATCAAAGAAAGGTGGTTAAAGTGCATCCACTTGACGTCGAGAATCCACTTAACGTTGGTGAATGCACCACAGTGTTTTAAATTAAAGCGATGCAATACGAGCCTCCGTATCGTAGGTCACAGCTATCCGTGCGCATTGCATTGACATAATCATCGATATTTTGACACGGCGCTCACAGCACTAAGCAAAAAAATGCCTCGACCGCGCTCTCGCCTGCGTCTCAATCAATTCAAATCCTCGGCAAACTCAGTGCACTTGATCCTTTTTTCTGGTGATGGGATGACCCGCTCTTGTGCACGCGACTTTGGGCCTTTCCCTCCACGGGATGACAAAGAATAGGACCGAGGTCCTACCAAGAACGCAGTCCCGGTGATGAAATCTCATGCAAAATTTGTGAGCTCTCATTAGGAATCCGCATTCTACTTGGAACATTAGTGCTTCTGGCACTAATATAACTTTTTAGCATTTAACACTTAAAATGTTAATATAAATTTCTTATCACGAAAGAGCTTTTTACTGAGAATAACTCACGTGAACGCGGAGCAAGGCGCCGCCGTCCGTGGACTTATCCTGTACATTGGCACGGCCATCACAATTTGTTAACTGTCACAATCCCTCGCTGGCCTGCCGCCCCGCCATTTTCAAATGGATGATGCCATTCAAAAATTCAAATTGCACGCTCCCGCAACAACGACCCCTACTGATTTGACAAATTGAGGACCCATGATCGCGAATGAGGCTTATTTTTTAGTTCAAACTTAGAATGGGATTGTGTGCACTGCGGCACAAATTCTGCAATAGATCATAATTCCGGGGATTGAAATGCAGATCTGTGTGTTTGAGACGTCGTTTTTGGCATCTATACCAGTGGTTATCAACAATGTAGGACTGAAAGAAGTTGACATCTGCTCCAAAAATTCATTTTCCGTAGGAAGATTTACAAAACACGCAGGATGATTTAAAAAATTAAATTTCAACTCGTTGGGAAAATTGCTATCTTGGTCAGGTTTGTATTCGTTTTCTCAAAGTCTAATGATGGATAATTTTATTCCATATGGTAATTATTACTAATTAATCATACAGCACATGAGTATTCAATAAAGGAATTGAATTATTATTATTATTACATCACTAGTATTACAGCGTAAAATGTTAAAACGTATTACAATAACATCATTGTTTTTTGGTCTGATTCGTAGACAATGTTCGAAAGAAAATATTTGTAGGATTTGAGCTGCAATGAAGATGCAATAATAAAATTGTTTTCCAGTCGACTCGGAATAGCTGTCTGATGAAACCTCCCTTCTCTATCTTAATTTAAAGGTTTCCGTCTCAAATTGCCTCGCCTCAGTGTTTATCAAAAGAGCAAGAAAGGCTGCGAAAGCAAAGGTTTTTAGGCCTACTATATTTGATCTTCGTTGAATCCTGCCGAGGCTCATAGGCTTAGGATGTTGCCCTGGTGAACGCACTCAATTGAAAACTCCTACTTATGAACATCGCAGCGTCGCATTTTGTATCTACGCTACATGACGCAATTTTGAATTGCGCCGAACGAACAAAAGATAGATATAAAAAAATAGGTGCACGATTACTGGAAATTACGGAGATATGATCTTGATTTTTCACTGAATGAATTTCCGGTCTTAAATACAGTGCTATGATTCAGAATCCAATCAATAATTCAATACGACGTATAATATTTTTTGCGCTTGAAATTATTCAAGTTTTGCTACATTTTTGTTTGCTCCTAGTTTATTTCCAATGACTAAGAGAAACTGCTATAGTAATTCTAACTAACATGGACATTATATACAAAAGGCTGTAGTCCAATTACAAGTGATCCCTTCACTCCGTATGCGCAGAATGTTGTTGTTGAAGTATGATTGGACGATCGCAATCAGTTTATGAGAAGGGATGTTTAGATCTGGAGTTAATAATAAGGCTGGCAGTCTTGAGGAACTCGGTGACGTAGGTAACTAGGCAATAAACTGCTTGCTCCGACTTCAAAGGATATTGTTGTCCGCTTAGGACGGATACGCGCAGCGACGGCAGCGAAATTTAGAGCGAAAGAGGTACGCGAAAACCAATCAAAACGGTTTGCATACATTACTTAACTGAGGAGGTGATGAAATCGAAGTACTACTTACTAAACTACTTACTTGCTACTTCTTTAAATATAGTTACTTGCTACTACTAAACTAATCACTCGTACTACATAATAAACTTGTTCTATTCATCCAGCATAAATAGTATAGTAATGAAGATTCCATAATTAACCCGTTTGGTGAATTTGGGCTCAAAAAAGCATTTAAATATTCAAAGTTGAAACTCGTTAAAACGTGAATAAAATAATTTACCGCGTATGAACTTAAAAAATCCGAATGAAAAACCGTTCTATAAGGACAGAAATAATTTTTAAAAACTCTATAAAGGAGATGTTTAACGGCAACCTTAAATAAAGAATAGTCAAGATTACTTCCAATGCATTTAAATAATACACGAACTTCTGAAAATAAAAAATAACTTTTTGATAAAAATAAATGTAGGAAATTAATACTATAACGCATGTTCCCTGCCAGAGAAGCGGGTTTTGAGTGAACAAGCGTCAGTCTCTAACTCGTTGGGCAAAAGAACATGACAGTTAAGATATATAAGAAAATTACACTCATAATACCATACATTTCTCCACATTACTTGCAAGACTCTCTTTGTGCATTAGGAAAAGAACTGATTTATATCGCATTGGTATCTCTTACTGATATTTTGCTTCATAATCGCAATTTCGAATTCAAGTGAAGCATTTAACAGAGATTGATCAGTGCTTGTTCAAATAAAAACTTGACAAATTGATTATGATTCATACTACAAGGACTGTTAGCCGCTATATATATAGTGATACCGATGTAATAATATAAATAAATTATTGTTAACTTTAATAATAAAAATAATGGCCCATGCAATCCTCTCTCATGTATAGGCGAGAAGTACAGCCTACTCGTGAAGTTGGGGTGTAACGAAACCCAGTCGATTGCAGGGCGGATGTCGAGTTTACGGATCAGTTGAAATGCCGGAGCCGAAGATCAGTGAGACTTATTATGCAGAGATGAGGCGTTAGAGGCACCCTTTATTTGCGCCTACATAAGGAGGGGTCACAGCTTCCTCCATAGGCCTATACGCGACGCTCCTCTAATTTAGTGCTTTGATGTTGCTAACGATGCCGTGTGCAGGATATGCCGTGTGCAGGATGTGTGTGTGTGTAGGATATACCCTGTGCAGGATGTGTGTGTGTGTAGGATATACCCTGTGCAGGATGTGTGTGTGTAGGATATGCCTTGTGCAGGATGTGTGTGTGTGTGTAGGATAT